TGACGCATTGACGCACTTGTGACAGAATTGCACAATATATCTTTTGGAATCCGGAAATTAAATTCTGTTACTTACACATCGGAGTTTGAAATGAAATGGAGTTAATAGCCATATTCTTAACAATCCAACTGCACCACTATGGGTTATTGCATTTGCTTGAGCATGTAAAGAAAACTTTAAAGTTGCTAAGTATTTAATATATGATTTCAAAATTAAAAACAAAAAGTGCCATTTAAATCTATACATGAAATAGAAAAAAAAATACAACATTGTTTTGCTGACATTACAACGGCAGTATTATTCATTAATGCCAACACGATGATGCATTTCGTTTTTTTTTTCTTGCATTTGCCCTATGTGAAGATCCAAGTGGGGTCTGATAGAATCCTAACTGGATGCGAGTTGGATCTGACAGAATCCGAACTGAATGCAAGTGGGATCTGATAGAATCGTTACTGAATGCGAGTGGGATCTGATAGAATCCTTACTGAATGCAAGTGGGATCTGACGGTATCCTAACTCGATGCGAGTGGGATCTGAGAAAATCCAAACTGAATGATAGTGGGATCTGACAACATCCTAACTGAATGATAGTGGGATCTGACAACATCCTAACTGAATGATAGTGGGATCTGACAGAATCCTAACTGAATGATAGTGGGATCTGACAGAATCCTAACTGAATGATAGTGGGATCTGACAGAATCCTAACTGAATGAAAATATCTTAATATTTCGTTTCACAAATCCAGTAATTCATATATTACATGTGTATTACCTAATTTAAATACAAATTGTTAAAATAAAAATCCGTACATGCAAGAAAATTCCGTTAATCAATATCGAAAAAAAAGATTTCGTTTGCTTCAAGTTTCTATGAATGCACCATATAATGTGCATAACTTAATATTAGATACAGATTGTTGCAAGCTTATTTACACATTCATAGATGGTTAAGTTTACTATAAAATGGTGTTCTGTACATGTATATGCCAGTCATTTCAAATCACGCATCTAAATTTAAGCATTAACGAAATTAACCATCCACTAGAAAGGCAAAACCACCAATATGGTATTTATTGTTCTAAAACCAACGATCGTAACAGGAACACGTATGACAGCCATTGCGAGTCACCATTTGACATCCTCGGGGACATTTGAACCTTTTTGGACAAGCTGAAATAAAAAATGACGTACGGTGAAATTAAGGTATCCTTTATGACATTTTCAGATCACGTAATTTGCTTGGCGCAATCAGAAAACTCACTAATTGAAAGAGCATCTACACTTAATTACCGAGATTCACGCCTTCCAAATTTTCAATAGAGTATTTCTACCATCAAAGGTCTGTACATTTCGGAGACCCAAAACCCCCTTCCCCGAAATCTAAATCATCTATTCAATACGATTTAATATATTGGATTAAGGCGGTAAAAACACAACCCAAAACCAGACTACCTCTGCGTCTTGAAACAAAACAAAAAATTTCGTAGCGTTTCGTTGTGTCTTTGGAATGATTTGGGTCATATCAATATTTATAAAGCGGGACAATACATTTATACGTTTTTAGAAAACTTTTTAAATCGCAACAATTTTGTACTTCTTTTGAATCGAATGATAGTTGAATTTTTTACAATGATCTGATGTAAACTTACAGAGGATATCTCTGTCACTACATTGACAGGAACCACAATCTGGAAATTTTCTTCTGGTTCCACTATTGCAGTCTCCTCTTCTGATACATGCTACTCCACAATATTTACCTGGAATTATATAACAATGGCCGTTTTCAGGACAATTGGAATCATGTATCGGTATGTATACATATAGTTATAGGTTCGATAAGTGGAGGCATTTGTCTGCTTGGAATGAATGACGTAATGTAAGGAGCATCGGCTTGAGTCTGGATAAACCAGGTTAACATTCAGCCCATGGGGATAATGCCACAAATAATATGAAAAAAAATTTACACAATATTTTCGCTGTAAAATCAATCAATGAATCAACGTGTTTCACGTTCTGTTTCTATATTTTTAAGTACATAAAAAACAGAAATTGATGTATTCAGCATGTATTTTTACAGTGAAAAAATATAGACATACCTTCAGTAGATATAAAATAAAGACTAAATACAGCAAATACCAATAAACATCCAACTAAATTCTTGGAGCACATTTTAATATTGAGGGTATGTTGGAAGGCACGAATTCGATCGTTTGAAAACTATGAATGAATTGATGTTTTCAAACGTTTAACTTTTATATCCATTGACACAGTCGCATTTAAAACATACGTTTCCGGGTTTGATAACATCTCTTTCCGTTTTGTCAATTAAATCCGGATGAAATGATAAATGTTATATCCCCTTGGTGTTATGGTCTGTCTGGCTACGAGGTCCGTTATTTCGAACGTGTCGAATGATAACTTTAAAAGTATAGCAAGAACGTACATCACTTGCAAACAGGCCCGTAGTCAGAATTGATTCATCCGAGGGGCAAGTAATATATTCGGAGGGACAATGGTACGTGGTGTTTAGTTGCAGTAATGAAATTGGTCGGTTGTCAGAATTTTTTCATCTTGCTACGGGTTTAAAACATATTGCTTATGAAAGGTTTAAGAGTCTTGATCCACCAGCCCGCTTTCTATTATACTACCCAGTTATTTGTTCAAATGAATTAATGCTAACGTTAAGTTGTGCGCAAAGGAGAGGCGATTAGAAGGCAAATTGTACTTAAAAATTTCAAATGATTTAAACGAATCTAATTGGTAGCTACTCGACCAATCAGAAACGATACAAGAATGTCGGCTTGTTGCATCAAGAGAGTCCTGTGTAACTTTTGTGATATTTTCGATACAAGGTTTTCAATTGACAATGGCAAAATTACAGAGATGCTGCACATTTTGATTCAAAACCACAAGATAATGTCGGAACGGGAAAAATTCGAGTCATTTTCTATAGCTAGCATCTCAGCTTGCCGATTGTAATTTGTTAATGAAGGGGTGTTTTATTGAGTCAAGGACTAAAATCACGTAGATGCAGATTGTGGGAAAATACCCAAAAAGATGTCATTGTTCATTTCCCCTTTTAAAGAGATTTGACGTTGGTGCATGCCAAACACTAATGATTTCATAGAAACTTCAAGTCCTAGTTTGGCTTCAAACGGGATAGGGCGTTGAGGTTGCGTAATACTATAACGAGTAAAAACTGCGAAAGAGTAAAACTGCCATTTCGACAAAAAAAAATAACAGAACTTAATATGTTAAAAAGATAATGAGATTAGAATGAGATAATCTTGCAATAACTTTAAAAAAAATTATCGCAGTTTAACCTTTTTTATCAAGTCATTTTCTTGCTCATTTAAAAAATTTGAAAAACTTTCCAAATTTGAACTCAACGTTTCTTTAAAATCATATTAAAATTCCAGTCTCAATCAAACCAGTTGTAGACACCTACACTTATTATAGGCGTATGAAACACATCGAAACATTTTACAATCCCTCAAAAGATGACTCGCCTGTAAGATTTGCCTTAATGTGAACTGTCAATGTATGTATTATTGCTATTAGTCTTGTTGTTTACGAAGACAAAAAACTGTCATCTTTAAATCCTTTTCGAAAGATTTATGGTTGAAGGCCAAACATAAGGCTTGGTACGGAGAGTTAATTTTTGTTTAGGAGATATCTCCACTTGCTCACCTATCATAGAGACTGGTTGAACCAAGTCCGTGAAAAAGAGGGTCTCAGAATGCAGGAGAGCATAATATATACAAATGTCCCGGGGGATGGCGCCCACTCATTTAGTTGAACCACTGGACTGTTCTAACGTATTTTGGAAAGTATCTGAAATAGTGGTATTGCCTTTTTTACTTTCGATTATCAACTGAGTGTTTTCTTAATCGTCCACATTTGGTGCTCGTTTTTCGTACGGTGTCTATCTCGAACGACCAAACGCCTCTTTATGGTCAGAGCCTCCAACCTACATCACCAAGGAAACCGGATGGGGGTTTTGGTAAATGAACACAAATGATCAAAGCAATTTTATATTTAATAAATGAAGACTCTTGAATATGATCGTTTAACCAATCAAAACATTATCTACGTGTGGATTCGAACCTGAAACAAAGCAAGGACACTATGTACAAACTCGGCTTTATTGGAACAAAGTACATAACATGCGTTAACTATTTCTGTATGTTGAAATTATTTACCAAGGTCGAATATCAATGAAGTATATTTTGGAAAATTTGGGACCTATTACATGTGAGTGAGCCAGCTTTGGTGGCCTCCAGACTCCAAACTGTAACAGGAACAGACGTATAGATTGTCGTACATAAAGTCGAGCAAAAGATATTCAAGTGCCGACAGATTCAAAATATAAGCAGAACAATCTATTTTGAACTAAGGTGGCATAAGTAGTAATTACCGCCATATGAATCAATGTTATACTGCGTAATAACTACTTAGCCTACCTAAAATTAAAGTGGACTGATTGTGTTTATATTTGAAATCTTCCCCGGACTGCATTAACTTATTTGCTCGACGATAACCACTTAACTTACATTAATGTATAAATCAATATTATCACTGGGACATACTCTTGAGAAAGGAAGGATTATATTTGAATCTTTCAAAATTTCTTTAGAATTTAACATATGATGTTTTGTTATCTTCTCTTCAACGTTCCGTTAATTTTCATTTATAATTATAAGGATAGATTCGCCATTTTCGGGGTTGATTTGGGTCTCGAATATACGTAAATAGTCTTTAGAAGTACCAGGAATGTACGAAAACCACATCATGCCTTCTAAAATACCTCGGAATTTCAATTTATATTTCTATATATATCTTTTCTGTATATGACAGTTTTAAACTATTTCTGATTAGCTTGGCTAAAAACCTAACGTTTCTGCGGTACAAGGTGGTAAGGTACAACTGGTCAAATAGTTGGCGAACCTGTCACTTAAACTATACATACTACGTTTCATACACATCAACTTAAAACTAAAGGTGCACGTTTCTTCGATAAGGGCAATATAAAACTAATGCATAATGAAATAACAGCATTTTCGATTCTGTTTTCTTACCTGAACCACTAAGATTGATCTTCAGATTTTGGCTGCTTGCTCCAAGGTAGAAGTTCTGGGTATGAATAACTTTACCATTATGGTGAACCAATAGTTTGTAATAGCCTTTGAATCCTCGTATTTGAACGTTCTGTCCATGTTTTATATTGTGAGTTTCATTGGTTCTCCAGGTATGCTTCAACAACTCACGAACTTTTCTACCAGCTGCATTGGGCTGGAAGCAACAAAAGGAACAACGCATTACAATTCAACCAAATTTACTAGTGTCACCAGTAGATGACTATGATAAATCAAGTAAGATATCCTTCAGAACACCTGGTTAATTATGTGAACTTTACAACCTTTGCCAGTGTAGATGGTGATTATTTGGTCCAAGTATTGCAATGAATCCTGTGCATGCAAATCACCTTTGTTAAGCAATCACTTCAATATGCGACCACAATAACCCCACCCCTACATCTTTTAATAGTTAGTCTATGGATATGTTCGATTGAAGCAATTACACAAAGTGCCGGTTCTCAGATCGAGCTTTCTCTACTTCCCTGCATCATAAAAATTATATGTAGCGTTCTAGACTTACAGTAACGTTGTTTCCATTGGCTAAAGCGGCTTGTGGTCTCCAATGACGACCATCCCAGAATCCCCAAAACAGAACGCCTTTGACAGCTGGATGGCTAAAGAACAGTCTCATCAAATCCTCATATTTCTTAGCCTTCTTATGTTCATCTGGTTCAGATATATCCAGTTCTGTCACCCAGATATCTAATCCTGCAGCTGCGACTTCATCAAGACGCCTCTGTGAAGGCAAACATAGTATTAATAGACGAAATTCATTTATTCACGTGACGTGAACACATCTGTTGGCCGACCTTAACTGAAGTTATCTTTCTTCACCATTCCATCCAGCAGTAAATACGTACCGATTATCTAAGGGCGATTTAGATTGGGACTAGCTGATAAGCTAAGAATATTTGTTTTTTCAAAAATTAATTTTTCACAGAGATGCAATTCAATCCAGTTGTTCCTCACCAATTAAAGCAATTGCTTGACTTACCTTAACAATGGATACATCAACGTAAGCACTGAAATGACTCTGTACTCCTAAACCATGTAGTGGAACACCCGCAGCATGAAACCAGTAGGCCTGGTCTACTAATGCCTAAAATACGCACAATAAACACATGGTATTAATGCTCCTGCACCACTCTACTCGCATGACTTAAATATATTCGTACTTATCACGATTTCGAGATCACCTAAATATTTAACTAATCAGCCGTTCTATTTAACAAAAGCCAAGTTTCGGGGTATCTTTAATGGAATACTACTAATTAAAATGGAAAATAAAATCTCTCAACTTGGTCAATGTATTCATCAGTTTGACTTTGCAGGTGCCATGACTAAAGAATATAATCTCTTAACAAGGCGATATATCCATTTGACTGAAAAAATATTGAAAAACGCTTTTAAGTGTGTTTCAAAATTATTTAGTTTAATGGATTATTACTTATTTTGATGGATTTATTGGATTATAGAGGGATTCTGTCATATAGTTTTGACACCAGATAAGTTCACTGATGAACAAACACTCGTTTTTGCCAAGTTTAACCATTTCAATTTTTTTACTCATCCTAATAAGTAGTATACCTTTAACATTATACCTCCAGTATCAGAAGAGCAATTGATTGATTGTCGATTCCAAATGACCAGACAACCCGATTAGCATCTCTGACAGAAAGATACTGGGCTGAACAATCCTTGTGTAATCTGGACCATAACTAGGCAAAAGCAAACCAGTGACTCCTTTGTACACCAGGAAAGGTAAAAATGTCACTCACTAAGGTTGATTTTCCATCTGCTACCACATTGTATTCATTCAGGAAATTTTTGGAACTAGGATCAGATTTGTGAGTTTCTCGAAACATGTAAAATGTTATATATTCATCATTCAGTTTGTCTTCGTAATAATGTAAATGGAGATTCTCATTATTTACATCCCAATGTTTGAATCTGCAAAATTAGTGTAACACGTAGTGACTCAAGGAGAAGACGGTGATCTAGATCTGTCTCACGGACATAACATTGTTATTACTGGGGTAGATAGAATACACTCTCCCTGTTTGTATCGATACAAGTATTTTTCTATAGTCTAGTTCTTGCAAATGCCTTGGCAGTTTTGAAATGCAATGCTGCTCATACTTACTTGCCCTTGAAGTGACTAGTCATACCGTGTATATGATCGGTTATTTCTGATCGAAGTTGGTTGGCTGACATCGAGTGTTGCCAAGAAGGAATGTATGGCTCTCCCCAGAATATATTGTGACCTCTCATCTTAATTCTAAAGAATAAAAAAACCAAAGAGAATCGGTACGATGAAGACAGTGGCAGTGCCAGCCTTTCGAGACTGGGGGTACAGATAGGGGGCAGACGGACTCAATTGGAGGTAAGGGGGGAAGGGGGTGGGGGGGGGGGGGGGTGGTGCACTGTAGAGGATCAATTCAAAATGCAGCATCCTAATGGGGCGTCATAGTCGCAAGCCTTTTACTGAGAGGGTTATTCCAAGAAAAATCTTTTCGAAAAGTTGATTTGATTTGGTGCATTCTGACACATTTTTTTGTGAGTTTGGCACACTAATATATTTAATCGAACAGTATAGTATTCAATAAAAATTATTACAAGCGCATCTCTTTGTTTTTGTCCAATGCATTTGATTCTGTTGATAGGTAATACCTTATTATTCTTACCCCTTGCTTTCCATCGTATTAATTGCTTTTAATGGTGTGTTGTAGTTGAAATGACCCTAAATATTTTTAAAAGTTTTAAATATTTCCTTTTTCGATTAAAACTTAAAAAAGCATTTAAAAAATGGAAACCATCAATACACATTAGTAATTAACAGTATTGTATGCAAATAAGTCAACCACTGCCTTACTGTGTGATATGATCTTTGAGAAAGACAATCCACTTCTCAATATGTAAATTCCATTACATGGAATAGTATTAAAAATGTAGGCTAAGCCTTATAAAAACAAAATGGCTAGAAAAACCAGTATTCATAGTATTCAAAATGACTCTAAAAAACCTAATCTAATAGAATAATTTCACAAAGTTTGATCTCACCTTCTGTGATTCAATAGATTGCCATTTACAACCATTTTCTATCACACCCCATTCAAAAAGATCGTAGAAAAAGTTTTGGTAAGCTTTATGATTGCTATCTACAATGAGGTTGGCGTCGACAGCTGAACCCCACCCAAATTCACTGTTAACTTGCTGCACCTGTAACAACAGAGAAAATAAACAGAGGTTCGAGATAATGAATCTTATCTCTGACGCTCATATCTGCCATAAACGTTAAGGTATACAGCGCATTTAAAAATATAGGCCTCGACAGAAAATGGGTGTTAAAATATATAAAGTATTTTGCATGAAGAAAATTCAAAATTACCTCAATTTGGAGACCTGATGGTTGGGCGCTTCCAGCTAAACTAAAAAAACATGTATTTGGTTAATTGAATGACGGATCATTATCGCTATCAAATCAAATTAATCAAAGGAGTTATATCATCACGCTACAACACATAGTAGTTCAGAAATATCCAAAGTTAACGTATCTAATTATCTTAAACCTTTAATTGCACCTTGTTTTTATCATAAATATTTTTCTTTTGTGACACAGGCCAGTGCTTTTTTGAGACTTCGTTCTCTTCACCATCCAACACCATCTTTTTTCTGCTTTTGATTAGTCTGATGAGCGTCATACGGTGTGCAATACGACAACGTCATCTATATTAAGATCAGAAACTCTCGAGGAACCATGCACAACCTGTAGCAAAGCTCAAATTAAGAGCGAAAAGGGCTGAAGCACATAGGTCATTGATTTATTGTCCCATCCGAATGACCTATTTAATTATAGGTATTTAGATAATTACTGTGCCAGTGATTCCTGGTCGCATCACGGACTGGGTTGACTAAAAACACAGCGACACTGGGTCTTGACAACATAAAAGAAATCTTTTGAGCACTACCAAATCTTTAACCTTCTGATATCGATGGGTGGTTGCTCTACCATGACGGTATAATGATATTCCTTTCCATCTGGCATGTTTGCATACAGCTAATAGAGCTAAATATATGGCAACCAGCGTACCACGAATACGGGTTTTGACATGGTCGTGGAAGTATGACGAATTGGGGTGTGGTTTGGACACGATGATATGGCAACAAGCTGTGGAATATTGGTTCCTTTTTTAAAACAAAAAGGGTCAGCGCTTCTAATAACATGTCTCACCTAATTGAGATATCAGATTTTCTTATACGATTAATTGCAGAATTAGCATCATTGGCAAAGTTGGAGAGATAAGCTACTTGATCCATGCTAGCATCATCAACAATATAATTAGCACTTGGTTCACTAATCTGAACATAGAATCGCACACTTTTAACTAAAAGAAAAATGTTAAAAAAAATGATCATGTCATGCGAACATTCGGAAAAGGATGCTATTTCCTGCAACGATCGTAGAACAGATGTGTCGGTAAAGGAGATCCATCAGCACTTTCAAGGGTTTAATTTAGTCCTTGTTTTCAGGGGTACTAGTACTGTACTAAAATCACTTAATCCCTACGAATACCTCAAACTACAAATATTCCTTTCTTTCTTGACTGGTTTCTCCTCTGCCTGAATTCTGAATGAGACTGATCAGAGGAGGGTCAAACAAGCGGTGAACGTGCGACTTCAAATTAGCAATAACTTCTTGTCTACTCTCTCAGAAGGGTGACACATTCTCATGTCTACCCTATGCACGAATCGGAGGAAGAATCCGTGTTGAAATGTCCTTTTGCGTTTGAGGTCTCTTTACAGACGTGTCAATAACTGCCACTGATTTTGTCTTCAATGCCGTTAATTAATTTAACTTTCTTCAGTAATTCAGGCCTGTAGACTATCTTGACCTGTGGAATTGCATGGTGCATAAACCATGTTTTGCGTTTTTATTCATGTTGGAGGAGGCAGATGTCTCTGGTCTTGTGATACTCACTATTTCCAGGAATGTAAGCATCACCACCAACAAATATCCATCGTCCAGTATAGGTAAACTTGGTTTCTCCGACCTGCTTATATTCGTGTTTTCCTTAAAACATAATCTTTAGCTTAATACAAATTTGAAGAGTACGTTTGTTTCTGTGTCAAAGGGAAGTAACTCTCACCTTCAAATTGCTAATAAATATCACTTTTTATCATTATGTGCCTGGGGAGGATGGGGGAAACAGTTCGAAACGTTGCATATAAATTCAACCAGTTATTGTTGTTCCATAAAGCTGTGTATATATATCCTACAAATTAAGTGTCCGGTGGACTTTGCATTGATCAAAATGTTATAACAGCACTTTGAAACTTGAGTAGAATTATTTTTGGCAGAGGGCAGTTCTCAGTATAGACTTGTATAATTTTGCATAATTTTCTTCGGAAAGTGTGTGTTTTCCTTCTCTCACACAAATAAAAAATCTAGTTCCACACACAAAAATTGGTAAATTGCGATTTACTATTGAAAATAATAGGATGTCGCGGGACACTTCTCAAAACACCTAATGGTACTCCTCTTTGGAGAAGGCCACTACTATACAACCTATACTCTTGATTTTGTCATACTATGGACGAGATTTTGATAAACCGAATTGTGTTGCTTGTATGAATTGTTATTATTGGATGGTCAATATTTTTCAACTTCATCTTACCGTTGTTGTCTAAAATGTCCACATACGCCAGAAAGTCGGAGTGTTTCTTGCCGTTGCCTGGGTTCAGAAGTTTGGCCCAGATCTTAAAGTAGTAATAATGTCCTCCAGCTACGTTCACCTCCTGAGATGGTCCGGAATAATCATGATGTCTGAAATAACATTGATAAAAATAGTGACTAGCTTTCTAATACCTCAGACACCTATTTAGATGATGCTTCAAATTGGTCTATTTGGTGAAACCATCATTAAGACCATTAATGGTGATATACTAGTAAACAAAGTAATGAACTTTTTCTGCTTTAGATTGGGCACCTGAAACGACTGATACATTGTTAATATTTTCATTATCAGGAAAAGTAATCTCTATCTTATGGAAATGGTACTATTGGTAGGTCTCGAGTAATTTTCTTTTCCGAACGACTAGACATTTTTCCAGTGGCATAGCATTAAGTAAATTTGCCGGGTTATCGACATCAACAGAGCAATGTAATTTCCAAGTACTGGACAAAATAAGAAACGAAACTTTTAAGAAACGGCATATTTGACGTGTGATAGTCCGATGACCTTGAATAAGTCACTCATAATTCCAGTCGACCCAGCTGTAAATGGGAAGGAATAATCCGGGAAAGATCAATGCCAAGAGGTTTTGCCAAGGACCGACTGGTAGATAGGATCCTTAACTATGGCCTACGCTGTTATCCTTGTAATATATAGTTGTTTCTTTCTTTTTTTTCTTTCTTACCGTCCTGTGACTTTAAAACTGTGAGATCCACTTCGTTTGTCGGATGAAATAGACCCAGTACAGTCCAGACAGGTCCAACCATTGGTACCAGACTCAAATCCAGGATTCTGAAGCAAATTCTTTGCCAGAAGACATGGCAACAACAGCACAGTCCAAATCATGATTGTCTTCTTATCGCCACTGGGAAATTTCAGAAGGTTTTATAGGTCTTCTCTTATCTGCGATCCGATAAGACGTAAAGTGCAACATTCGATGTCACTTGGCATGTAATAGATAGTCGCCATGGGTCGTGAGATAAGACGTAAAGTGCCACATTCGATGTAACTTGTCATGGAACAGAAAGTTGCCATATGTAAGACATACCGTTGACTTGTCAGACAGAATGTGGTTAACACGAACGATATTTGAAATCATTCTCTTGTTATTTGAAATTACCTATGACCGCCACGCTTTCTTGTCTGCGACTCTGTCTGTATTCGCTAGAGTACAATCCAGTCAAATCGCTGCATTTCAAACTTCAGTGATAGAAAGGAGGTGACTTTTGCAGTCAAGGTATTGGAAACAGTTCACAATAGCTTGAAGATGGGCATAGTTAAAACAGTTGTGATGAGTGAACCAATCTAACCGCATTATTTTTAATTGGTTAAAACGTTGCTATTGGGCTACAGAAGAATCTTATCAGATCATCGATGGCAAGCGTAAAAACATGCTGGAATATAGTCAGGCGCAAACTGTTTTTTAAATGAGATATCCTCAGGTGTTTGTCTGTGAAATGAAGACATTGGTGGAATGGTTCCATGTTTTTTCATTCAAGAAAAACTTACCATGTACTTCAGTAAATCTTTAACTAGCACAATGTCTTTTCACACGATACGATAACAGCAAGACCCCATTGCTTAGTTCAATAATCGGGCTTTATCTGCAAGAGCACAACAAACCACACTGATAGCAAAACAAAGCACCCACTCTCACTGAGTGGATCTGTAAATTTCACCATGGGAGATACTCTGCTATCGTTAACTTTATGGAATTTGCGAATGATAACTTTTTAGATATTTTTAATGATTATCAGTTGATAAAACTGCATCGTCTATGGCAAGTTCAACACGGTCGACGTCCTTATCTCACTCGTACACGATTGACTGTTAAAATTAGAATATGTATGATGTTCATAGAGCATCTTCAATAAAGAGTTTATGTGTTTCATGCACGAATCTAATATATCCAAGATTTTATGAATGTAAATTACCTATTTGATTTAAATGGTAAGTCAGATGTGCAGAATGAAACTTATCATAGGTTATATCTATAGTTCAAATCCAGATCAGATCAGATTTATCATGTTTGACATTTTTACAATAATAAAATATTTTTACTGTTACAACAGTACTCAGTACATCACAGAGTGATATAGAAATATAAATATTAAAATAGAGCTCAATACATCACAGAGTGATATAGAAATATCACTATTAAAATAGTGCTCAATACATCAATTGTAGAGTGATATAGAAATACCACTGTTAAAATAGTGCTCAATACATCAATTGTAGAGTGATATAGAACTACCACTGTTAAAATAGTGCTCAATACATCACTTGTAAAGTGATATAGAAATACCACTGTTAAAATAGTGCTCAATACATCACTTGTAGAGTGATATAGAACTACCACTGTTAAAATAGTGCTCAATACATCAATTGTAGAGTGATGTAGAACTACCACTGTTAAAATAGTGCTCAATACATCAATTGTAGAGTGATGTAGAACTACCACTGTTAAAATAGTGCTCAATACATCACTTGTAGAGTGATATAGAAATATCACTGTTAAAATAGTGCTCAATACATCACTTGTAGAGTGATATAGAAATATCACTGTTAAAATAGTGCTCAATACATCACTTGTAGAGTGATATAGAAATATCACTGTTAAAATAGTGCTCAATACATCAATTGTAGAGTGATGTAGAACTACCACTGTTAAAATAGTGCTCAATACATCAATTGTAGAGTGATGTAGAACTACCACTGTTAAAATAGTGCTCAATACATCAATTGTAGAGTGATGTAGAACTACCACTGTTAAAATAGTGCTCAATACATCACTTGTAGAGTGTTATAGAAATACCACTGTTAAAATAGTGCTCAATACATCACTTGTAGAGTGTTATAGAAATTGAAATATTAAAGTAGTGCTCAACTCTTATCTTGTTGTCCATTGTATATTTAATTAGTGAAAAATCATGGAGCATAATGCTGATAAACATTTTGTATTTGTTGTCTTTTTTGTGATATTAAACTTGGACAAAACTTTACACTTCAATTCGGATCTTGTTGAGGATAGGTATGTTTTAATATTTTGCTGAAACATCTGAATATATAGATTTCAGGAGACGCAGAATTTGATTTCTCAACCGTGTACAGGTTTTTTTTGTGGGTTAAAGGGGCAGTTTGCAAAATGTTCATCATCGAAAATATAACACCTGAAAATATTTTTAAATTTGCTATTTACATCTATGTATCCACATGATCAAACTGAGTTTGTTTTAAAATGGTTAAAAAACGGAATGTACTAATTAATTAAGTAAACAGCTGAAACAAGTTTTGCTATTTGGCCCCATAAAGACTCGATATTTTTAGGTGAAACCTTTAGAATGCCTAGGAGACGTATTTCTCTACAATTGGGCGTTTATTTTGTTAAATCCCTACAGTAGTTTTATAACAACTTCCAAAAAAGCATAACAATCTTAAACAGTTTACTTAAAACTTTCAGATACGTTAAAGGACACATTTCACTAGATTTTGGTGTAAATTTGAGCAAAAAAAAAAGAATATTTTTCTATTCTTTTGCAGGGAAACTAACATGGCAGGCGATAGACAATTTCATATAGCAGACTATGTTGTATTTTCCTTGACAATGATAATTTCTATTGCCATCGGTATCTACCATGCCCGAAAACGTCGTTCGGCATCAACGAATGATTACATGGTTGGAAGTAGAAGCATGAGGAGCTTCCCACTTGCCTTATCAATGGTGGTGAGCTTCGAATCTGCCATTTTGGTTCTTGGTTTTCCAGCTGAAATCTACACTCATGGTATCATCTTTTTCTGGATAATCATTTCAGTTCCACTGTCACATTTGATTGTGTATCGTATTGTTCCTCGAGTTATTTATCCACTGAAAATAACGACCATTTATGAAGTAAGTAGGTTTAGATATTCCTCACTCATAATCATGTAAATGATTGTATGGCCCTGATATACGAATTGCCTAAAAGCCAATAAACTATTTGCTATCATATTTAAGGGCTTTTCAAGACAAAAACAAGATAGAAACTGTACAAAATCACAATTTGTATCATTATGATTCAATTCGACATAACGTATAGCTTTGCGAAAGAAAACGGATAATCGGTCAAATAAAAAAAAATGCTGAACTTCGTATCTTTATAATGTGCCTTAATAGAAATATTAAAACAGAACCTAATAAACTCAAGAGTTTCACGCATCGTATATCGTGAAGCTGGAACAACAACGTGTTTTTTCAGGTTGTTTTAATATTTCTATATCATTCTTTATCACTCTACAATTGATGTATTGAGCACTATTTTAACTGTGGTATTCTATATCTCTCTACAATTGATGTATTGAGCACTATTTTAACTGTGGTATTCTATATCACTCTACAAGTGATGTATTGAGCACTATTTTAACTGTGGTATTCTATATCGCTCTACAATTGATGTATTGAGCACTATTTTAACAGTGAACATATTTCATTATTGTAATATACCTTCATATATTGGGTTAATTGTTTTTCCCCATTGATTTACTTGGTTTTTTTTTTTGCAGTATTTTGACTTGTGTTTCAAATCGAAAGCTGTTCGAACATTGGCCTCGATTTTGGCTCTGGTACATCAGGTAAGTAATTTATAAGTAAAAACTTTATTTGTGTACAGGTTTTTGGAAATTAGTCGCTCATTTCTTTAACTTTCACAGATCATTCCTGGCATAGATCGAGATCGTTACATCGGAGTTGTAATTTTTCAAAATATACTTCGCGAAAATTTTCTACGTCAAAATGGGCTCTGCAAAATTTCAGTCGGAAAATACTCGTCGAAAATTTACCTGTCAGTGTCAATATTGCCACTCATAAAACCCCCTGCCCAAATATACTGAGTAAAATATCCCCTTAAAATGTAACCGATAACCAACGAAATTCGTTGCTGCAAGAATTGGCATAGGACGAGTTGGTAGACATGATACAATCCAAGTTGTTTGGTAGGTTTTGGTTTTCTGTACCAAACAATTAAAACAAAAATACTCCATTGGAGGATTAAGCATGTTTATTGAATTACATCAAATTGCATTTATGTTTCATATTGATCTGAAAATAAGAAAGAAAGCCAAGTTAATTTTAATAATATTGATGGCCGTCATCGAAATGATTACAGCTTAATAGTGGATGTTTATTTTATATTCCGCACAACTTTAATAGTTATATTATCTTACCAGACCTCATGTCATCTTATGTCTTATTGTCCAAAAGAATTAATCTCTTGGGGTGTATGTAATGCACATGATACGATATCACAAACGAGGTTTAGAAGTTGAAAATGAAACACAACCTTGAGCCTCTGTTGATTCGATGGATAACTATAATTAATTGAGGCGCTTTACCTCAACTACACCAGATTAGGCAATATAGTCAGGGAATTGTCTTTTCTGATACAAATATTGAAGGATCTTTAATCTGAGTCCGAAGCCTCAGATTGTTTATTTTCGGATGACCAATTCTATGTTTTTTATATCATTCATTGTATTGTATTGTTCACATGGGCTGAATGTTAGACAGAACATGTCCTTGTGTATTGGACCTAATTTTGACCTATGTGAAATATAGAGTTTATTGATATTATGTCATTGTCCGACAAAAAGCAGTTTCTAAAAATAGATTCAGTTTCCGCTTCCCATTCAATTACAAAAAGGCTAACGTTGTGAATACTACTCACCTCTGCATTCGCAAGCCGGACATCCGTCATCGCCAACTCTCATTCCATATGGACAGTACATAGCGCACAATGCCCCAGAGCAACCTAAATAATAAAAATAATGTGATAATGCTATAGGAGATTTCATAAGCTTCACAGACAGCTGTTGACTAGACGAACTACATGATGATATGCTTCGCCAAGTAGAGTAAGGTTACATCAGGTCAACTCGATATGCCAAAGTCTAGAGAGCCTTAGAATCTTTCTCACACGGAGTTTGCCCTGTTGGGAATGAGATATCTCCAATCGGATAAAGACCATCACCTCGTTGGTGGACAAACACTTTCTGGTTGTTCCTTATGTTGACAATGCAGAATCAATGAGTCAAATAGATCATGACGTCGACTAAAATTGATGAGTTGACAACAAACAGAGATCCTTATACTTGATCAAATACTTTACTTTTTGAAAATCAATTTCTTTGAGACCCACATGTGCTACAAGAACACCTGTGGCTAATGTAATACTTGATACTCAGACTAATTATATTTTACACGACATAAAAACTTACATGTACAGGTATGACAACCATCGCCAGTCATACCCTGGTATTGAGGCGATGGGCAGTCAAGATCTGGACAGTTTAATTCTGGACAGAATTCTTGAGGAATTGGTGACCTAGCTACAGCAACAGCTGAAATAAAAATAGATTTCATAGACGACAATATTAATACCGATGTTTGATATTAACATTGATTTACGCAGTGATGTGGCTAAACAAGACGTTGATGTTAGTCACATGAAATCCATGTGCCGTACAGGAACCAATCGAAACATTATTTATATGTGAAAACTAAGATTCCTGCAATCAGATAGATTTTGCCAAGACTTTGGCAGTCTTTTCTCTGCAGTGTCCACTTAGTGACGATTTTTTTTTAGCATGGACACCCTGTAGAACACAAGGCCCATTTCGTCCCATCCAACTAACTGGGCGCTTTTTTCCATGCCAGCCCTTCAGCCTGCATCAGTGTCAAAAACATGGTTGAAAAATTCAAACGCTAGGCTTCCATGTCAACAAACGTCCAAGTAACTGAGCGACGACTACAGAAGCGACCGAAGAATCATCAAATGAAAATGCGTAACTTACCAACAACGACACAAAGCAACACGACTAAAACCTTCATTTTGGAAGAGATATTATTGACTGAGTTGTTCAGAAAAATAATGGTCTACCTGTTTCATTTTCGATATTTATAATAAAAGCTGAAAGCGATTATGATATGAAGATAGTCTTTATTATCGAAATATCCGGTTTGATTTGAACAAACGACATGATTGCCATATAACATTAGGAAATGGGGAGGATGATTATATATAATGACTATGTGTTGTTTCCGTCATACCTTATTATAACTACATTACCTAATTTAATGTTGGTTACACCAGATGCGTAAAATATATAAACACCATTACGTTTATCGACTCGACAAAAAGCGGAGGATGGTTACTTTAGAAGTGAAGAACACGACTATACAGTAAACCGCGTTTTCACTGTAATGAAAAATCTGGCTCTAGGCTAAAGCTAACATTTTGAATTTAGCCTCGACAGTTGTCCCCCTCAATGGGTCAGTTTGCCCTATAATTGTACCCCCTGGCTTAGGGCGCGGGGGGTGCCCCTGTACACAGAACACAGCTTATTTACGATTAGATCAAGCAATCGAAAATTATCGATATTCAACAAAATACCACTATTATTATGATGTTTTTATCAAGTCACCTGTCCTCGTTATTCCAGCTGTTTGGAAAGACCAATGCCAACTGGTGGATATTCAACTTTTAGTTATGCACTTTTTACAAACTTTTTTGGGTGATTTTTATTCTTATGGGTACTAATTGTGCTCCTTTGCTTGCTGACGTATTTCTCTATGCCTAAGAGGCGCAATTTATTCAAGACCTCCAATGCTAGGGCAATAAACAGCAAGCCCGTTCTTTCAATTCGACTTTCCGACACAAAGATGACTTTTTGTCACTTATTAACGCCGTTTTTGGAGACTTAGTGGATAAAATCGAGTTGGAAATTAAAGACACTACCGATGCTTAGACTTAAGCTTCCTATTTGGACTTGCTACTCTACAACAATCACGATATTTGTGTTTGACTTTATGACGACTTTGATTTTCCAATTGTTAATTTCCCATTCATATGCAGTAACATACCTCTGTCACCAGCTTATGAAGTATTGTGCCCTATAGAGTGGTTACAAAAAATTATACGCGTCTTGAAGGATAAGGGCAAAAACTCATTTTAAATTTTTTATGATTTTTTTTCAAAAGGGTTCCCTCTTGGGTATTTATAATTTCATCTAGTGTCGTCTACATCCGAACAAGGGCAATAGCCCACATTAAATATTTTAAATTTTTCAATAGGGTTCATCATTTGGTGATAAAAACACTTAAAACAAGTTTTGTGAAAATCTGTCCAAAAGTGTAAACGAGCAATTGTGGACGGACAGATATAGGCTCCACATTTCAAGCGCTAAAATAGCCGCTATTAGCTACTATAAAAATGACCAGAGCCGAAAAAAACGAGAAAACGCTCAAATAGCGGTTACAGCTATTCTAACCCAGCTATTTTAGAAAAGCGTTAATAATCGCCAAATCACATCTGAGTTTAGCGAGATTTTTGCTAAAATAGCAATGGAGCCAAAGAATAAAATCTGAAAAAATAGCTACTTGACTCAGATCCTGCACCTTCCTCCACATTTCATGACTGCAGATGAATCTCGGAGTATGAAAGGAAGTATTCGGTGTGAGCATAATTTGTCAATTGAGAATAATGTTGCCTTAAAGCCATGTGAAGATAATTCTGACCAATTTGTTATAAATAAGGAGGCGGTGAATCAGGAGTGAAAATCATTTCTCTGGTTTAATTTTTTATTGCTTACGTTATTCAAATCCATTGTTAATATTCATCTCTCCTTTCTTATCATTATTGCTTAATGTTTATATTGTTTATATCATTTTAAGGAAAAGATGATTGTAATAGTATATATACGAGTTGACATATTTAAATAATCGAATCTGTTAGTATGAGTTAGTTTAAATATGTTAATGACTAAGACACGTGGTGTATTCCACTTGTATCATAAATAAAATGATTGACAACTTGAACTTATTACGGCATCCATTTGATCACGTTATCGTTTTATCCAATGAAATAGAAGCTCGTGCAAGACGTGTGTTGTTTTTTTTAAACAAATGGAGAGGAGATTTAGCTTAGCAATAGGGACTGGTTGTGGCACATCAGAGCCTTTTTTGAAATTCTAGGGATTGGGAAGGGGTAAAATAGGAATTAACTGAAAGGGGTGTGAAATAGGTTGGGCGAATCGGATATGGGTGAAGTGGGACAAGTTTTGAAAAGGAACGAATTTGAATGGGGGCCCAATAGTAAGGGTCGAAATGGGAATAGATTTGGCCGTCTTTTTCCCCTGATTCGCTCCTTACCCAATTCGCTCTTTCCCATTTTGTCCCTTCTCGTTTTGTCCCTTACCATTTCATCTCTATTGGAATTAATCCTTAGAGGACAGAATCGCTTGACCAATTGTACTTCAGAGTAATAAACGGGGATATGTTTTAGTTGAGCTAACCAATATTATTCTGAGCTCACCGACGAAATTTGAGCCTTCAAATCCATGTGTGTCCAGATTTATAAGTTCATAGGTGAAAAGATATATAGAAATGGAAAGTTAAATTTCTAGTTTGATATATTTTAGAGGGAATTATGATATTTTAGTATATTTCTAGGAATTCTGATGACGATTTACATATTTTCAAGACCCAAACCAACCCCCGAAAATGGCGAAAATGACATGATTTCAAGGACAAAACAAAATTGCTCTGGTAAATTTTTGTTTTCTTTAAACACGAATAGAAACACAAATTCTTCAATTTAACATGTTTATTGAAAGACATCAAACTCCATTTACGTTTAGTATGGACCTGAAATTAAAATGTAAACAAATATATTATTAATTAACATGATTTCCATTATAGGATTACAGCCACTTGGGATAGGTATTTTTTCAGCCCAATGCATGCGGTAATATGGGGAGGAGGGGGGGGGGGGGGGGGGGGAATACGCACCCGGAAGAAGGCTATTTCGAAGAAAATGGAAATTATGTAGAATGTTCTGTATAGACTCGATTTTGATAAATAATATTATCATGCTAGATTAGATATGTTAATGACTCTATTGATAATGACTTTATATAGCAACCACTTAACTTATTTCGAATATGAAAGGACATCCGTCAACAAGCTACTTGCATCTCGCCTTGATGATATGAGCACCATGGCTCAGCCGCGGTGGCTCACTGTGTTACGCTTGATCGCTAACCTGAAGGTCCAGGGTTCAATCCCGGAATAGGTCGAGATAAAACCTTCGGATTTTTCAAACCGGTTTCCCCCTGTCAGTGATGCAGGTAAGAGGGGTTGGCATGGAAAAAGCCTCTAGTCGTCCGGATGGGACAATAAACCGAGGCCCCATGTGCTACAGGATAAAGATCCCTCGACAATTGGAAATCGAAAAAGAGCAGGTTAATGTCACTGTCCTCGCAAAATGTCCCACATTGCACCCTACAAGGCCTTCATAGCCCACATAGTGCAGAAAAGTAGGACGTAAAAGAAAAAATCAACAAGAAATGTCCATGTCTGAACATAAATTTTTTGTCTTCAGTTAAAAACTGTAGATTCTATGACATTTTTAATATGTGAGATTAATATTCGCTCAAATTTGAGTTTATTTAGGTGAGCGATGCGCACACTAAATTATGTTAACGGGGAAATGTAAACGGACGTTCGTTCAGAACTACGATCATGAGTGCCAACAATATACCTCTAAATGAGAGAGGGGAAGTATAAAGGGAAACTCACCTCTGCATGAACAGTATGGACAACCGTCATTATCAACTTTGAATCCATTGGCACAGTACATCATACACATAGCACCAGGACAACCTAAAAATATACATGGGGCAGAGAGGTTAGTCAATCCTACTTTCAGAACATTATTTAAAATACTGTTTGGTGTAGACGAATTATGCGATGATATGACTCGCCAATAATTGTGCTATACTGTACTTCAATCGAGAAACTCTCTAAGCAGACTCTATTATTCATGTACCATAGTCAAACCTTGGTATCTTTGTTTATTCACGTCGGCGCATCAGATAGGAGATGAGAGACTGCTGTTACCAATGTTTCGCCAATATATTGTTTGGATTTCGGGTTTCGTTTTGCGGTTCAGATCGCCAGTACTTGGTTTTTTGTGCCTACGATCGGGATTGGACAATCGACAATTATCTCGTTCGGTCACAAACAGTAAACAGGCTTCTTGGAATATAGTGCCCAAGCCTTCAATAGTTTGGTACTCAATTGGAAGCTATACAGTGGTCAACCTTTAACAGATAACTGGCTAATCAGCAAACTAGGTGTAATAAACCAAGTACTAACGATCTGAACCGCAGATCGAAAACCGAAATCCTAACCAACATAATTTTGGCAAAGCATTGGTAGCAACTGCTAAGTTTGGAAAATCTTCCCGGGTGCTCTCTGGATACACATTGTGGTGTTTGGTGGTATACCTGAGAGCTACCAGTATCCCATGTTGAAAAACTTACATGTACAGGTATGACAACCATCGTCAGTCATACCCTGGTATTGAGGCGATGGGCAGTTAAGATCTGGACAGTTTAATTCTGGACACAATTCTTGTGGAATTGGTGACCTGGCTACAGCAACAGCTGAAATAAAAATAAAAACGGCAATATTAATACCGATATTAACGCCGATACAGGGTCTTAGACGGTGGTATCCCTACGTCATATCCAGAGACGATTCCTTTTCCATCACAGAAATATGCTGCTGTACCTCATAGGACTAACACCATGCCAGCTCAACAGTTCTATTTGTTCAATATGATAGGCATACACAAGCAGAATGTGTGGTCTTTGGTGTTTACCACAGGAAATTCCATAAAGAACATCAGCTCCTGTGTCTGACAAGAACCAACACATTCTTCAGCATGACACACACTAGGTATTTCACTAAGAGAACGGCAGTCTTCTTTCATCAATTTCTACTTGTGGTCTTTAACGTGTACAGCACACTGATCTCAAAGAAGACAAAGGCTTTTTCCAAGTCAGCTCTTCAATCACTGACAGGTTGAAAAAAGATTTTATATCAGCCTCTACTGGGATTGAATCCTTGGTCTCCAGCGTCCAACTCACTGGAATTGTTCAAATGAAAATGCATAACTTACCAACAACGACGCAAAGCAACACAAACAAAGACTTCATTTTGGAAGAGATGTTATTGACTGAGTTGTTCAGAAAAATAATGGTCTACCTATTTCATTTTCGATATTTATAATAAAAGCTGAAAGCGATTAAGATATGAAGATAGTCTTTATTGCCGAAAATATCCGCTTTGATTTGAACAAATAACGTAATGGTGGTATAAAAATAGGAAATAGAAGAATAAATGGTATATAATGTCTCTTTGCTATTTCCGTCATATCTAATTCAACTAGATAATATTTCTCTAATGGCATTAACACCAGTTGGTCCTATAGGGTACAAAAAGACCAAATCAACACCATCTGTTATATAGACTCGTCACAAAGTCACAAAATGGCCCCTTTTGCGATTCAATATTTCCTATGATTAGCCAAAAATAAATTTATCACGACGATCTGCGAATCAAACAAACTTGCATATTTAGCGTGTGACTTTTCAACAGTCTCTATAAGCTGAGGGAACTAACGCCAGTAACAAAATCGATACCGAATTTTTATGAAATGCGGAAAAAAATTGAAATTTGGTGTGCTAAATTGAAAATAAAATTTTTTCGATCTAAATTGAACCCTAACATTTCATAGGTTGTGGTGGTGGGATGGGTGGAATAGGATTCAATTTGACAGTGCTGTTTAACGCCTACGAGGTATATTTCATGCTAAGTTATGCGATATCTGAATAACAATTTTGAGACTAATTATGATCTTTTTCTTCCTCAAATGTGAACTTCTCCGAAATCATATCTACCAACTCGGTAATCGTAGTATGCAACGAATCGATATAAATCAAGCTAGTCTGTGGACTAGAATCTTATTTTCTTGCTCAACCGCTAATTTCTGTCCGCAGAATTTGTTAATTGATAATTAGATCAATTGCCAACCTAGCTGTCCTGATACGTTTCGGTATCCTGAGATGAGATATAATCTATTTGTTCATATTAATGATTGTAAATGTAGGTTATATATATGGGAGTTGTGTTATTTGGTCCAGCCATCGCCCTGCAAGCTGGTAAGTGGTAAATCACTATTTATGAATTTACTTAAAGCTTAGCTTCCTTAGATGTCTTCCGATCGTTTTGGAAAGGCAACATTCAGGTGGCCATATACCGACTCGGAAGATAGGAATAGAAACTTAATATTTGTATCTTTGGAAAATGATATAATAAGTATCCTTTGATTTCAATTGTGTGACTCAGTGAGTTAGACGCCTGCTCGTTAACCTGGAAGTCCATAGTTCAACCCCTGCAGAGGTTAAGACGATACCTTTAGATTTTTCAACTCGGTTTCCCACTGTTGGTGTTGTAGGTCGAAGGAGCTGACATAAAAAAAAACGTCTAGTCATTCGACGTTGACGTGTGCGACAGGTGGTGAACGTTAGAACTCCCACGACAGTTTGAAATCAAAAAAGAATATGATAATGCCGCTGTAATGACAAAGTGTCCCTCATTGCACACTACATGACGATGCCCGATTTATTAGCCCAATAGGGTGAAGAAAGGTAGGACGTAAAATTCAGTTCACTTTCTTATTTCAGTTGTCGGGTTTCCATTTGAATGGTCTATAATAGTTTTAGCTAGTGTCTCTATACTTTATACATCCACTGTAAGTTTTGAAACTTCATTTCTCTCCGCCCTTTGGTCACCTTTCTTCACAGGAGATTTGGGACATTATCTTAGGTCACTGTATTTCAAAGCATTTCCTTTCTTCACAGAAATTGCGTTATCTAATGAATTTGTATTTGATGGGACTCGCTAAAATCATACCCTCAAGAAAGCATGCTGTGGTACAGACAGATGGAGGCCAAACCGATTATTTTATACTCAAAGTGTCACTTAAATAAGTACTTGACACACTTCAGTTTTGTCCATATCTATTTTAGTTTATGCTGTTGAAGGTGGGTTCTAATTCTGAAACATCCGGTCTATATCAAATAAACAAGATTAACTATTGGAGCTCTCAGAAAAGATCAATAAACTAAATGCATAAAAAAAGAAAGATAAGATTAGGGTGTAATGCGATACAGACTCACAAAGAATAAGGTACACAGGCCCTACAGATGAAAATGGATGAATGACCCCCAAAGAAATATAACCGACCTATTCCATTACTCCAACTTTACACCTTACACCTATCCCTGCGAACAATCACGTCTAGCTATGGGCCTGAAGGTACATTGTTCGGATGGAAAAATAACCCGAGGCTCCATTTGGTACAGGCTTTGAAGGTTAGTCACCGTGACTGCTGTCGATCCCTCCATGTACACTATAGTTTCACCAGCCCAATTGGACGTCCAATCTGATTTTATATTGTGTCTAACTCCATATCAAATGTTTGATCAATTTATTTCAGGGTGGATTTCGGGCTGTAATATGGACGGACGTGTTTCAGTCTGGCATTATGATCCTAGGTGCCATTGTAGTTTTGATCAAGGTAAAGCTGGTGACAAAACCATTCGAGTCGTACCTAATCTATGATACCTTGTTCTTCTTGGATATGATCAGCAATAAGCCAGTTCCGATACATCAAGGATTCACATAGATAAGTCATCGCTCATAGTAACAAGTGTTGTGTAGTTTTGTTGATTGTCATTGAGATATTGGATCATCACCAATGGCTTCCACCCTACTGTCCAACTACAATGTGTACATTTATCACACACTAGTAATGTTCAAGAGTTCGTAACACATGTTCATTCTAAAAACCATGCTCAATGAAGAATGAGTACAAATCCTTTAAAAATAATAATAAACTCTTTATTTCCGAGGTACCTTATGTAACACTATTGCTTTGAATTGATCGGGGAATTTTTTCTAATAAACTGTTTTCATTTTAGGGAACTATAGATGCTGGTGGACCGGCCGAAATTTATGAACACAATCTCAAAGGGGAAAGACTGACGTTATTCAAGTATGTATGTCATAAACTATGATTGATCTTAACTCTTCCTTCTTTGCAGCATATTTATTATCAAACCAATGGAAATTGAATTCCGTACATGACAAGCATCCTTATTTTTCAGATGACCTACCTAGAATTGTCCCTTCCCATCCTCTTCACATCTTGAAACCCCAAATCTCGTCAAATAATTTCAACCGGAAGAAAATTTCAAACAATTTTTGAGAAAGTTTTTTTAAAAGAGAAATTCCAAACTCCAAATTTAAAATGTTGGCCATTTTCATGTGTAATTTCTTGTTGTGGAGTTATTTATTTCAAATGTAAAATTATCAACTTTTTAAGAGAAATATCATAATTTTTACAAGACGTTTTTTGAATATGGGAATTGAAAAGTATCCAATTCGCACTTTCGGGGAATTACTTGTTCTTATTTCGTGATTTTTACAGTTTTGACTTCAACCCATCAGTTCGTCATACAACTTGGTGCCTTCTCTTCGGTGGACTAGTGAAGGGTTTGAGTTTTGGCCTAAATCAAGCAAGTATTCAAAGGATATCATCGGCATCCGACCAAAGGACTTCTGAGAGGTGAGATTAACTTACCAAATTGTATCTAAACCAGGGGTTTTCCATCTTTTTTATTCAATTACCCCTTTCAGGATCATTGAACGTTTCCCTGTAATCTTTTTCATGTTGAAGAAAATATCCAATCTGAATGAGAAGAAAATCTATGCTAGGCTTCAAGGCGGCTCAAACCTCCCCAAGAAATTTCAATATTACCCACCTTGAGGTTAATCAACCCCAGGTTGGAAATCTCTGATTTAAACAAAGGTGAATACTTAAGAATACAATCTTAAACTGGCTATCGAAATAAAATTCGAATAGAGGTTCTTTGGTCCGAAACATCTTCCTATATCCAAGCCTCTGACGGATATTTTCACAGTTGTCGGCTGGAGTAAAGTCAGAAAAACTAGGCCCTGTTTTACGGAGATTTTCCACACCTCCGAAGATGCGTTTTTTCTAATCGTCATTGGACGTCCACGTGGCCTACATAGTTCTTAATCATAACAATGCTTGATTCTAGAGCGCTGCTGATGTGTATTCCATTATATTTTATCACTACACTAATACCTATTGCACATGGACTGATCATCTACGGTTATTATAGCAAGATCAGATGTGATCCTTTGGCTAATGAAGAGATAGAAAATTCCAATCAGGTAAGGGTCGCGCCTTCCATGTAACCACTGGCGTTTATTCGAAGCTTAAAAGGCACAACCACCATCTTTTCAGTCTAGAGTTTTTAGTGATTAGTGGCTCAATACAACAGGGACTGGTTGAACCACGTACACGAGCTCAACCCTTAGGGAGTCACATCGGCATAAAATAAAATACAAAATAGAACAATAAATGTACCAAATTATACAATTATAATCACACTAAGTAACCAATGATATATTAATGAGTGAAATAACATCAACTACAGAATAGATGTCTTAAATACAGAGGCATTAAATTGACTTTCCGGGATTTCAGAATGTTGAAGAGAATAAAAAAAAAACCCACGTCTGTCCACGGGCCCCCACTCATCTTGTTGAGCCACTGGTCGTGATGCTTCTAAACATGAAGGTCTGGGATTGATCTCAGTATTTTTCAAGATAGTATCAACGGATTTTTTTCTTGTCTTTTCTTTGACGGGAGAAGAGGAATCCATTTGGAAATAGCATGACGACTTTTTACAGGTGACAAAGAACACATAATTATTCAGTATAAAGTAAAAAACAACAACATTCTTGTGCAATATTGTCATTTGATAGATTAACTAGACTAATTGGAGACGTCCTATGTGCTTACAGCCATGAAAGTTGTTGGCATATGGTCCGGCTACACGAACAGTCTTGCTCCCCGATTTTTGTCGCAGACTCGAATCTTGAGTAACGCTAGTAAATTTTAACGCTATCCCGTTGCCGACAAGATTTATAATATCAAACAAGTTTGATATTTGTCGCCGATTGTTTTATCGTCTGTTATAAAGAGCGTCATCCTCCAATCAGATTCATTTTTCTATTAATTGCATAATCCGCAAGTCGTTGTCGATATAGTGGGAAACGACCGACTAGTGATTTTGTGTCTCCTCGTGTGCCTGTAGCCGGTCGGTGAAACTCTTGACAAACTCTGGTCGGCGACAAAAATCGCCTACCAAGACCGTTCGTTAGCCTGCAGCATTAAACCTCAAATCTTTGAGCACACTGTATGGTATATATCGTTGTTGCTATTTTCATAAGTTCAATCTGTGAATTAATAATGTCTTTAATATACTCTCAGATTATAGCACTATTCGTAATAGACGTGTTTAAGTCACTGCCTGGTTTAGCTGGTCTGTTTATAGCCGCACTTTTTAGTGCATGTTTAAGGTAGGAAAACTTGTTCTTAGATTCTGCAATTTCTAAACGCGCTTTTGTGAAAAGAACATTTCACCAAAATTTACAAAAGTGAAATGAAACCTCAGCACAAGTACGAAATTTAGTCGAATAAAAGGGGAATGCCTTAAAATCCCTTAGACTAACTGTGTGCAGTAAAACTGACAAGTTAGAATACAAATTGTTTTCTGTTTTCAGTACCCTGTCATCAGGATTAAGTGTCGCCTCCGCCATCATTGTTGATGATTATGCCATCGTTATAAAACCCAGTTTATCTGATAAAACTAAAACCATAATCGGCAGATTAGTGGGTATGAGCAACTTTTGGCATTTTTTTTTACAGTGCTTTTCCTCTAGTTTTCTGTGTTAAAGGGACATTTTCGAAGGTTGATTTGGATCAGGAATATATTTGTCTTCAGAACATATACCAAAAATGTACGAAAATTGTGCAATTCCTTCCAAGATACCTCAAACTAGAAATTGCACTTTCTATTTCTATAGATATCTTTGCAATATATGGTAAAGTCTCAAGAAAAGACCAGTCGTCATTTTGACCTTCAAACGCGGATAGTTCCTGACACACATGGATTTTTAAGGCTCAAATTTCGACGTTGAGCTGAAATGAAGATTCGTTTATTTATAGACTATGTCTGTTGAAAGTCAGATGCTCTGTAAATTATTATATTTTTTCAGTCTTGATATTTGGATTGATATCTGTTGCCGTTGCATTTTTCATATCTTATGTTAAAGGTCCTTTAACGCAGGTAGGATTTTTAGAGCCTTTGTTATTGATTTGTAGCTATGGCATCTTCACAATTTCGAGCTGTTCCAAATTTTGTAATTATACCTTGACTGCAATAGACACTTTTCCAACTGTCGAAGGATACTTAACCATAGGAACTCGTTGAACGGTTCGCGGACAGCAACCTCAAGAGCCACTGATCACATTGGAATTTTACATTTTGAATTCAGGTAGTGATTAGTTTAATGGCGTCGTTTCTTGGACCTTTATCCGGATTAACCTTATTAGCAATGTTGGTTCCCTTCGCAAATGCAAAGGTTTGTATCTTCATTCTTCTTAATATCGACTACCTTGTCAAATGTCTTCCCACACTGATGCAGTTACAGGCTGGGTTCCTCCTTGTCAGTGGTCTGGTCCGGGGTCTGTCAGGACAAAGTTACTTGTCTCGTAGATGAATAAAAATAATAGAAGAGGCCAAATTCAAAAGAGCGAATCGGCAACAAGTGCGGGGTTATATTGTAACGTGGGATCGGGGACAAGGTTACATTTGAATAATCCCTGCAGTAGGGTAAATATAGAGGACACACCTCATAGTACTTCTCGTTTACAATTATTGCTGCCGATTTCGTCATACTTTGGAAGAGATGTTTGGTGAATGGGATAGTTTTGTTTGTCAGGTTAAAATGCTCATTGGCTTTGTATGTAAAAATATTTCTATTTTGAACGCAGTTAATTTCCTTTATTTCAGGGTGCCATTGCGGGAGTTATATCAGGTGTTTTGATGACATGTTGGATCTCATTTGGTTCGCTCAGCAGTTCGACATTAATTAAAACTCCAGAACTACCACCAACCTATGTAGATCAGTGTATTGTAGACAACAATTCAACCTTGCCACAAAATTACACTATGGCAGCTTTAGATAAAATTAGGATATATGAAAATTATGAACCGTAAGAAAGTGTCTTTTTTTTTCTTTTTTTTTTAATTGGCAAATAAAAGTGTTCATTCTCGTCAACACGATCATCTGAATGCATGACGATGTTTTGAACAGAAAACAGAAATCCACAACAAGCTTTGACATGGTCATACAAATGTATGATATTTTTGAACAAATGTGTGATCGTGTTTGAGGATGCCAGTGTAAACAGAAATCCACAAAAAGTTTGGGTATAGTCATACAAATGTATGATGGTGTTTTAAACAAATGTATGATGGTGTTTTAAACAAATGTATGATGGTGTTCTAAACTAATGTATGATCGTTTTTGACGATGTTAGCCAGAGCAGACAGAAACCCACAACAAACTTTGACATGGTCATACAAATATATACTGTTTTGAATAAATGAATGATAGTTTTTGATCAAAATTTGTGATCATTAAGCATGAAATAAGCTTTAGTCAATTAAGATATGAATACAGTTTTAGAGTGAAATACGTTTTAATTTGACTGAATTTACTTTGGGGAGCAATAGATTTTGAAGAACTCTTCAGAGGACGAATGATCTCACTGAGGTTGAGAAGCACTGATCTATATATCCCTGGTCCTTTTTTCAGAGAAGGTTTGGATAGATTGTACAGTTTGTCGTATTTTTGGTTCGATATAGTTGGCATTCTTACAGTGTTCATCATAGGATGCGTTGTTAGTCTGATAACAGGTTGGTGTTTAGACTTTCTTTCCCATTAACTTATGTTGCGAGCACACCAATGGATTGGGTTGACGATATTTGTCGCCAACTAGAGTTTTGTCCAGAGTTTCACCGACCGGCTGCAGGGAAAACATCTCCAGTCGGTCGTTTTCCACTATGTCGACAATCGGGCAATGGAAAGGAAAATGAATCTGATTGGATGATGACGCTCTGTCTTGCAGACGATAAAACAATCGGCGACAAATATCATTATTGATACTACAAAATTTGTAGGATTTAATCCTGTCGCCAACGCGATGGTCTTGTCGTGGAAGCACGGGCACATGCGATATTTTACCCAAGATTCGAATCGTCGACAAAAATCGTGTGCGTGTGCCCACAGCATACAGAGATTTCGTTTAGTTATGCGCACTGGATTAACTGAATGAGTTCGGGCCGTAGATTGAATTAGGTTGAGGCCTCTCCCTCGCTTAGGCGGCATGTGAACTCACTCCACTAATTCATTTGCAATCTCTTCCCATGTTAAAACACGAAATTCAACCTTTTAGAACTTTTTCCAGAAATCTCGTTGAAAGCTTTCCAATATGTCGAATGAAAGCCTGACCAATCCTCAGTGTCTCCTAAAAAATTCAATATATGATGACCATAAAAGTTTTGAGCTACTAAAATTGAAAGTAGACTACGACCGGTTTTACTCATCCGCTAGAGTTTGGCAGTTCACAAAACGGCTATTTTTTAGAATTAGCCTTCCGGTCTCTCATCATCTCACCAAAATCTTAAAGATAATGCAATTTCAGATATCAAATTCCAAATCTAGACCAAAAGTTACCCAAAAACAGGCATGCAAAAACCCCAAAAGGGAGAGAGAAAGAAGATTTCTATAAGTAGCCTGGACTACAGAAGATTTCTAAAAATAGCCTGGACTACATTCGTATACAATCATTTGCATAAAATGTTTTAGTGGAGTCAATCCAGGTTATTGCTGCAGAGATGCTATTTGCAAAATAACATTAATAGCAGGCTGGCATTGCTTCAAATATCCAATGAAAATGATTGTGCTTTTATGAAAATCACCCCATTGGCATCTCTGTTTTAGGTCCAGTGAAAGCAGAAGATGTCGATAGTCGGTTAAAGTATCCTGTGTTTGATGGATTTTGCTGTTGTCTACCAGAATCCGTACGTCACCATTTACGATGTGGCGTAAAATATCAAAAGGTAATGATTAATTTTAATCATAACGTAAACATGACCTTACCTTCCAAACGTACTTACAAGAGTAAGCAAGACCTAATATTCTCTCTATAAGATTGTTCGCTTTGTCAAAACAGTGTTCAAAGGAAATGGAGCGAAAAATCCACCTGTTGCAATTTAAACCTGGACCCTAAATGAGAGGGCGTCTAACTCACTGCATGGGCGACCCAAGTCAAGTTACACAAAAACTAAATTTTATGTTTTTGTATGTGCTCGTGATGCCAGTAGAGAGATGTGCATTAACAAGACTTTTCGCTTTTTGGTGAGACAAAAGAGCCCAGAATGCATTCCCTTATACATTACAGGAGGCAAAAGACGATAAATACCATGTCAACGATAAAGACGCAGAAAACCAGGAAAAAGCACCTTTCCGGATACAACAGGAGGAGATGGAAATGGACAACTGTTCTAGACAACCACTGAATATTTAGAGGGAGATTTTTTATTTGTTAATAGGAGGATAATTTATTTTAGGGATTGTTTTTATAAATATCATTATTGTTATTATATCATTTACTAAATGAAAGGTATTTTTCTGTCTGGTATTTATTGAAGAAGGTTAACACCATGTAAAGTGCCCAATGTGGCGTGTACTTTGTGCATTCCCAACTGTCGAGAGATCTTCAACGTGCAGTCTCTGTTTATCGCACTACCAAGACAACACATTATTTTACCATGTCAGCACAAATATAGTCGATTTCTTAACAAGCAGTCCAAAATTTTGCATGAAAACGATATCTCCCGATATCGAAAGTGAAATTAGGATTGGATATCGGACACGGTCTCTGGTAGTATGAGGTAGCTGTTGCTCGCTTACTTGAAGGTCCAGGGTTCAATCCCGGCATAAATCGAGATAATAACTTCGGATTTTTCAACCGGTTTCCCACCGTCAGTAATGCAGGTAAGGGGGGTTCGACAGTTGGAAATCGAAAATAGCAGGCTAATGCCGATGTCCTGGCAAAATGTCCCTCATTGCACTCTGCATGGCGGTATCTGTCTTCATTAGCCCCCATGTTGTAGAAAAGTAGGACGTAAAACTCCATTAATTTCATCTCTGTTAAGAATTGTTCTCGGTAGTGGCCTAATTAGATGAGTTAGGGGCTCTACCCCAGGAAATTATTTTTAACATATTATTATGCTCTCCTGCATAAATTTTCTGGGTAGGGGGCTCGTTGACGTGGTTCAACCAGTTCCTATGGTAGTGGAGCCACTGGTTCTCGGGTGTACATAATATACCTTTGTTGGAAAGTGTTTCTTTGTCAATTGTGTCAGTAAATTGAAAACATTAAAAGGATTAGCTAATCTATAGCTAAGCTTACAGTAGTGACAACTAAACGAGATTGTCGCTTAATTAATTAGATTAATTATATTAATTTCACTTATCTTAATGAAAGCCGTTGAAGAGTTGACTTTAATTGCAGTAAACGTTGCCTTGGGTTCATTAACGCAAGCCCCTTATAAATTTTGCGCAAAACCATTTTGGAAATTAAGTAGTAAGTAACTGACTGTATAAAAGTTGAATCCGATTTTCTCAAATTTTAAGAAGATACGAACACTGGTTTAGGTAGGAATTTAAGGCCGAGATATATTTGGAGATAGGTATTGGCCCATAGCAGATTTACTTCAGCAGATTTACTTCCGAATAGCACAGACCATAAAACACTCCGGCTGCTTTTAATAGCACAACGTCATTGACCAAGGAGATTTATTTTGAACCAAAATACATTTAAGTGTTCGGGATCCATATGACAATCATGAACAGGACAGTAAGCTTTCAAGGATCCAAAGATCGACTTGAAATGGGACAGAAGAACTACTATTCAGATCTGGTGGAGAAAAACAAAAGGCGGTATGAAATGCTCGAACGGCGACTTCTTGGGAAAAGTGACACAAGCGATTACATTGCTCGATGTAAGGATATGCTCGATGACATCGATGACAAAATTGACGCCATTTTTCAGAATTTGGAGGAAGCCCGCGAACGAGATCGTTGCATAGATCAAAATTCAATAGATTTACATATCGAAGATGAATTTATACTAGATTATGACAATGCCGAATTTACCTTTGAACCCGATAATTTCGAGTGTCAAAGCTCTTTAAGTGACTGTCATGTTATGACGAAGCAAGTGAACCTGGACCAAAATTGTGACAATAGTGATTCCAGTCATGTCCGTCACGTCACCGTCGTGACGCATAACTTTATGCAGAGTGTGACAAAGAGTGCTGAAAATTCCAAAAACTTATACAAAAAAGCTGTTAATTATTTATTTAGTCTGCCAAATCTTAATTCGAGATTCGTGTATGCCTGTTCTTTAGTGAGAGCGTAATATTAGCTACGAAATTTCGATCCTGCGTTCTGTGTTTTGTCTGGCTTTCATGTTAATTTTTTGCTTTTTTGTGATAAATTCCACCAATTTTGTTATTTATATAAGTGTATATATCGAAATAAATTTTTAAAAAAATCGCCTTTTGTTTACGGCAGTTGTGGGTTCTATTGGTCGGCTTTTGAAAGTCTGTGGACCTTGAATAAGTCATCTTTTCTCAATATCAAGAGCTGTAAAAACAACTGCTAACCCGAGAAAGATCGAGGGGTAGAAAGGATCGCAAGCTGTTATCGTTGTGTGAGCGAGTCAGCTTAGGTGGCATTCCCACTCCACACAGAAACAAGCTGAGATTAGAATGAAACAAAACCTTATATAGGCTAGTTCATGTACATCACATGAAAACAACAGAGATATCTGAACATAGCCTAGGAATCCAACTCATTGCCACTTTCCTTTTCTTAATTCTCTCTCTCTTATACAGACCAATCTGACTGTATTTGACCTTCTCCCGAATTGCCAACTCCCGACAGGACAACAAGCACAGAAAACAACATCACAACAGTGCTGCAACCATGTTGTCTCTTCAGTGCCCTATCTGCAACTGACTAGATTAAGTTAAATCATGTAACCTTACATCTTACTAAGCATGCATATTGAACACCTGCTGAACTAAATATAGATATGATGAAATACATCAAAGACATCGACAGGATGTTGTTACAACAATGTTATGATAGTGTTGCCGACAAATTTATAGAGACAGTAGGCCCATGGGGTTACCCGGTTACACTTATAAAAAGTGGTTTATTCTTATTAAGCTTATTAGGCGTATTATTACTGCATACGTAGGATCAAATATATACCAAAGTGACTGAGAATTTCTGTATCTTTGACACGGCCATGTCCTTCATCGGATTTTTGAGAGATGCTGACTCAAAACTACCAACATATTTGTTTCATCGTTAGGTTAGGGCATTTATAGATCTCTACACAACGTAATCTGGAACAATTCAAAATATCATCGTAATATCATTACGTTGCCCTGTTGATTGCATCTGTGACACAAACAAAGTGTCCATTTCAAGAAAAATTGTCAGATTCACGCCAATTTCGTGTCAATTCATTTTTATGTCGTAAATATATTTTACGACAACAGAACGACTTTCGGTTTAGTCAATACCTATTTTCGGCATGTGTACTTTGGAATAAAATATAGACGGAAATCATGGCTATTGACGTCTTTCAGTGGATAATTATCGGTCTTTTATTGCTTTTACCTATACTGTATGAACTTAGCACGACTTTTAAATATTATGCCAAGTTTGTTTTTTATTATGCAATTATAAATTGCCTGGCGTTGATGGTTATGGTCACTGGAATATGGAGGCCCAAGGATGTAAACAATATCTGGTTTGTGCAATTTTCATACCCTTCAACTTATCATGTTATGTCGCATTTGATCGATGTACTGGGTAACACAGTTATGTAGAATAACAAGCACAAGATTTGGTAGTCACATAAGTAGTAAACCCACTTTCAGGGATATCCCTTTAATGTCCGTATTTTGTCTTCACTTTGTTTATGTATCATAGTGGATATTTGAACCAGTGAACCTGTTGAGATGCCTTACTGCTATTTTACCAGCATTTCCAGACACTTGTGCACTGTAAATTAATGAATCTAGTGTCAAAATGCAATTTAGTGATGAGATAAGGATAGCCTATATGTAGAGATATATTGAACAAGGTCCAGCTGCCTTGAATTCGTCTCTAAAACCACGAACGATCTATTTATGTACTGCACTTGAGTAAATGGAAGTGCCGGCTAAATTGTCAAAAAGAAATTCGATGGATTCACGTCTTTGTAACCACGAAGCTTTCGCTTATTTGTAACAAACTTTTGGTCAATCGTGGAAAATATGAATGATCTTATTCTCCATTTCTCTGAAGCTTCATTGGCTATTAGAGATTTGATTGGCCATCACAGTAGGTCATTAACTGTCACACCGATAGACTTAAATCTTAAATTGATGAGTTGTCATTTTATCATTCAAAGACAGATAATTCTGAACACATGGATTTGAAGGTTCAAATTTTGATGGTGATCTGTGAACACTATTACTGATTAGCTCAGCTAAAAAATTTCAGTTTCTGAGACTAAAGTATGATTAAAAAAAAAATGGTTTACTTGTCCCTTTAATATTTGCTTGTGTAGCAGATTTAGATCAATTTCATCCTCTGTATTACTTTGAAAATGAAAATTTATGATCAGGTCATCAGGTAGAATTTGATTTCAATTAATATAATGGTGCTTTATTTGCTCAATTTGAATATAAATGAAGTATTATCACATTAATCGGGGTTATAGGTGTTATAGAAGATACTCTCCTATAGAAGCACTGCCATAGGTCACAAGTAGAGACTATGGATTTCAACATGAAAACTATTTCAATTCAAACAGAATATGTTTTACAGAAGATTATTCATAGATTATTACTTCTGGAGAGATTACAAGAAAAAATATATTAAACTCAAATTTCAATGCAATTGTTTCAGGGAGTTGATGAAAGAAGTTCTAATCTACCATGAACCAATACATTACTAAAGTTTTTATGTGAAAAATCTAAAATTGAAAATACCAAAATACAATGTTTCTCATAAACTCTTTACAATCTCTTTATAGGGTATGTGCCAGAATTGTTATTGGTTGCCCAAGTATTTCAAACTAATTTTGTGTTCAATGATGCAATTTATTCTAGTGGCCAGTTCACATAGCTATATTATGAGTAATTGTGCTCAAAGCTGTTTCATATTTTAACGATAACACAAAAAGGTTGATGTGATTCGCCCAGCTTTCCTTTTTTTTTTGTAAATTCATGTGTTAAACAATGAAATGAATGAATTAACATATCTGCACCTAATTAGGCTGATTAAGGCAGGAAACACAATGCAGTACGCTATGAGGGAAATTTTGATTGGATAGCGGCATAAGCCTACTCTTTTTCGATTTCCAACTGTCGAGAGATCTTTAACTTGCACAGCCTGTAGCACGCGGGACCTCAGTTTATTTTCCAAACCGAATGACTAGATGATTTTTCAGTGTCAGCACATCTGACCTACATTACTGGGCTGAAAAATTCGGAGATTGTACCTCGGTCCTTCAAGTTCAAGAGCAAGTGTTTAGCACACCGAGCCATCATATGCAAGGCTTAGGCATACGATTGTTGGATATAGAGTTTGTTATATATCTAGATTTAACAGCAAGGGTATACTTGTCTGTATGTCATGAAATGGCCATTTAGGCATTTTTCATCTACCAATATGCCTCTGCCTTTTTGCCATCATCATATCCAAAGATGCTCCAGGTCCACATTTAGTGTGTATGTGTACATCCAAATAAGATGGAATTACTTTTAGGCATAACTTTAGGGTTACTATTTATGATTTTAGTACTTTATGATCAGTCCAACACTTTAAAATTTTATATTAAATTTGGCGTGTACTATGGACTTATCACTGCATTGGCATTACCAATTAGTTTAGTGTGTATATTTAGACCTGCAAATGTGAAAAATATATGGTTTGTAAAATTGGATAATGATTCATAATTATGTTTTAAGTATGCCACTTTCCTGCACCTGTTATGGACATACTGATGTGGGGAATGGAGGAAATGTTTTACAGGATATTGGCATCAATGGCAATCAAATTTTTTGTGTGTATTGGGGACCACAATAGCAACAATTTGCACCATTTCAATTTTCGATCAGATGGCTGTAGTTCCTGCAATTCCACTAAAACTTAAGTGTTCATTGCCAAATATGCTTTATTACATGAGATCGTTCTCATTAAGTGATGTCATCAAACACTTAGATTTATTGAAATTGAAGGAAAAACAGACATCTGATTGAAAATTGGATTGGTGCAAACTGAATTGGTGTAAATTGAAGCTATTCAAATTTTAGAAAACCTCTTTACAATCCCTTTAAAAAAATGTGAATTTTCAACATATTTTGGTCAGATAGAAATAGGAAACAAAATTTTAGTTGTGAAATAATTTCAAAGAAATCAATAATAGAGTTCATAGATCAAGTCAAAGCTATGTAACAAACTTCAGTCATACAAATTATAGAACTTTGATAATTGCTGTTAATGTCTGATGATTTTTGTAACATCTGGGCTTCAAATTTCATTTTTTGTCTTCCCACACTGTTCTGTGCTTGTACAAAGGACTTGGGGAAATGACACAAGAAGTTTTCTTTTGGATAGGAGCATCTTTATGTATCCTTTTGACTCTTCTATCCTTCCTGAACAAAACTGTGGAATATTATTTCAAGTGGTTGCTATTTTACTCCATTGCCCACATTGGGGCGTTTATGTTTGTCATACTGTATTGGTGGCGGAAGAGAGATGCGAAAAATGTGTGGTTGGTTTTTTCTTTTGTGTGAATTTCCATTGATCTAGATTTGGTTTTTGCAATAATTAATTTGACTTGTATGACATAAGCTTACTCTCTATTCTTGACACCCAATGTCTGCCACTGATTTTGTCACTTGACACCTGATTCAACTGATTTTAACACTTTATGCCACTGATTATGACACTTTATGCCACTGATTTTGACAGCTTGACACTACATGTACCGGTACTTAATGGAACTGATTTTGTCTCTCGACACTTGTTGCAACTGATTTTGACACTTGACACTTATTGCAACTGCTTTTATCTCTTGATACTTATTGCAACTGATTTTGTACTTTGTTACCCAAATCAACTGATTTTGTCCCTTGCCACTTAATGTACTAGGTAATGATTTGGAATTATTGTGAAAGCCCTAAATGCTTCTGACAGAAAATCCATAGATTGATATACAACTTGACAATTAAGATTATATTATGTTGTAGGATTGTGGTATCATGTATGAAGATGATCAGAAAATTGTTTGGTATTGAAATAGAGGTACGTGGTAGAGAGCATTTAAAATCAGAAGAACCATACATTCTAGTCAGTAATCACCAGTCATCTTTAGATTTCTTTGGTAAGTTTAACACAGAATTGAGGATCCTGTCATTGTGGCCAAACCTCTTGGTATTGGTTTTTATACCAATTTGTTCTGAATCATATCATTATGTTCTTATTGCATATAATTAAGAGTTTTAACCAATCATAAATGTCCATATATGCACAGTCTGGATAAACTAAAAAAAGAATTTTTGCCATTTCTTAATCAATCACTCATTGGAATTCTTCTAATCCAGCTCATTATGAATTAATATTGGACATCATGGTATTTTTCCAAATCATTAGAACACCTCTACTTTCTATTCATATAAGTATTAGCATTTTCATGTTCAGAAATGAAAATAAGGGAACACCTCTTTAAGATGTATTTTCTCTTTTTTCAGGAATGATGGAAATATTTCCGGAAAGGTGCACAAGTCTGGCGAAAAAGGAATTATTTTATGCGATATTTTTTGGTGTGGCAGCGTGGATGTGTGGTACTATATTTATAGATCGTTTGAACCATGATAAAGCATTAGGCACACTTGAAGCTACAGCCAAAATTATTAAAGAAAAAAAAGTAAGATTATATCTTTAAGGGACAGGTGTGCCATTTTAGTCTTGAATATTAGTCTTCAGAAGTACTAGAAATGTACGAAAATCACATAATTCCCTTAAAAATACTTCAGACTAGGAATTTTACTCTTTATTTCTATATATATATGTCTTATCTACATATCACGAGTCGTCATTTTAACATTTAAACACAGATAATTCTAGACATACATGGATTTGAGGGCTCAAATTTGGATGGTGAGCTGTGAACCCTATTACTGATTAGCTCAGTTTAAGAATTCCAGTTTCTGAGACTAAAGTATGATTGGACAAAAAAATGGCCTACCTGTCCCTTAAAATAGTACTGAATGATTTTGGGATAGTAATTGGCTGCATTATGATGAATAATAAGATCATCTTTTGAATGGTAGGCCATTCCCTACTGCAACACTGACAAGGATTTTGCATTCTCAAAACTATGTCAGGGTTGAATCCCAGAAAGGCAGGTTAGCAACCAACCCATCCCTGCTCCCTTTAATAAATATTTGGCTGACCATAAAAGTAAATTTAAACAAAATATACAGACTATTGCACTAGATTTATTACTATTATTTATATCAGTGTCTATCATCTTGCAGTTAAAGGTGTATATTTTTCCTGAGGGTACTAGAAATTCAGAATCTGGGATGCTACCATTTAAGAAAGGGGCATTTTATTTGGCGGTTCAGGCTCAGGTAAGCTGAAATGTTACTACCATAAATTCAAGTATTCTTACCACAAAGTATGTATACTTGGATTACTATAAAGAATATCCTTACCCCAAAGCATGTATACTTTATATATTATAAAAATATTATTACCACAAAGTATGTATAAGCTTACTTGATATATTATAAAAAAAAAAGTATCTACCACAAAGCATGAATACTGTATTTACTAAAAAAAAATATTCTTACCACAAAGTATGTATGCTTGATATATTATAAAAAATGTACCTACAACAAAGTATGTATACTTGATATATTATAAAAATATCCTTTACCACAAAGTATTATTACCACAAAGTATATATACTTGATATACTATAAAGATAGTATCACCACAAAGTATGTATACTTGATGTATTATAAAGATATTATTACCACAAAGTATGTATACTTGATATATTATAAAAATATCCTGACCACAAAGTATTATTACCACAAAGTATATATACTTCATATATTATAAAGATATTATTACCACAAAGTATGTGTACTTGATATACTATAAAAAAAAAGTACCTACCACATAGTATATATACTTGATATACTATGAAAATACCCTACCACAAAGTATGGTCTGTATTTTGTAGGTACCTATAGTCCCAGTTGTCTTCTCCACTTATTCTGATTTTTATTGTAAAAGAGATAAAAGATTTGAAGCTGGTAAGTTGTTTTGCCGTTTGGTATTTTTTTATAGTTGGCAATTTTCTATTTTCTAATTTCATCATTATTTGTTATAGTGTAAATTTATCACTGAAATATTGAATGACAATTTTCTATTGCTGATGCTGATGTAATTTTTTTCAAAGGTCAATTTTCACTTTTAATTTTTGAATAGTTATCACCAAATTGCATACGTTTTTGGTTGTCAATGGTTACTTTAAGTTGCATATTTCTATTGCCTCTAAGCTGTACATCATCATTATTTTCAATGACAATTTTCTATTGCTGATGCTGTTGTTATTTTTTTCAAAGGTTAATTTGTACCAATTTTCACTGTTAATTTTTGAATAGTTATTGCAAAATTGCATACATTTTTGGTTGTCATTGGTTACGAGTTGCGTTTTTCTATTGCTTATGAGCTTGTACATGCCTCTCTCTGACCAATATTTATAGAATTATGTCCCATCTAATACCAGCATGCCTGCCGTAATGATGGTTTCTGGTATAAACTGAACTCGTATATAATGTAAATACTAGGATGTAAGGTGTAAGTTGCAGAAGAGAGTAACCTGTCCTGCCTATCTTCCGGTTCCATACATCAAGCTCAAGATAGCTCTAAAAAAAAATAATTTTGAAGCAGGTTTTGAATCTGGAAAATTTTATGTTTTTAATTCAAATTTTTTTTGAAATTCTGATGTAAAAATATTAAAACAGAACCTAAAAAAGACCTGTTGTTATTACTCAAAGTTTCACGCTATGCACATTATTGCGGGAGTATATAGTCGTCAGCCCTGTCTGTCGGAATGTTTCATTTAATGATAGCTCTTGTCAACCTCCCGGACCATCGCCATCTTTTCATTTTACAGGAAAATGCGTCATTCAGTGTTTACCAAAAATATCCACGAAAGGTCTGACGGCAGCCGATGTTGGAGAATTAACAGAAAATGTACGAAAAGACATGCTGGACGTCTTTAACCAGATATCATTAGAAATGCGACAACCAAAGTTAATCAACGGTTTTAAATAATTGTTTGCAATCATTATTTGTTTATTTGTTTGTTTGTCTATTGGCTGGCCTTGAACTCTTGACCAGGGTCATTGGAAGCTGTGTACAGTCATTGAATCTTTTGTGTAATTCAAAAGCTATTAAAAGCAGTATTTTAAAATTAATTTTGCAAATCCCCAAAATTTTGTCCAAGTTTGAAGTGCGCAATTTTTTTTTTCCATACTTAAGGTGACCTGACACCATAGTGATAACTTGTCATCTACCTACCTACCATATCGATTACCAGTTGTGTATGATTGCGATTAATGAAAGTGGCTATGTGTACCGAATGCAACTCACAACTCGGTTGCATGAGAATTGTGTTCGAAACTTATGACTGTTATTCTTATTCACAACCATACAAAACTGTTGATCGTTATGGTTTTTAGGGAACCTTAAATTATGTATTGGAAACTTTCGGTCATTCGTCGAATTGTTCAAACAGTAATGATATGATAATCATACAATACTGAGGAGCTGTGTTATAAGAGGCCTTCTCTCTTTGGAAATTGAAATTAAATTTCACGTCGTTGAAAAATGTCTGGTTGGCAAAAAAATAAATGATTACCTATCCCTACAGGAGAAAAACAAGGCCAGCCAAGCGTGTTTGTGTATAGCTTTATAGCATATCAAATTGTTTATTTATAGAAACTTTTTAATCCCAGTGATTGACCAATCATTTTTGTTGGAAATGGTTTATCTTTGTGTACATAATGCTTTGCTAGATAAATTTGAGTTTGTGTAAAAAATTCCATACTCTAAAGCGGCCCATACACGATCAATTATATTACACAATAGTATTGCACAATCGAATTGAGTTATTTTTCTGACCGACACACACGATTCAATCAAATCGCACAATAGTATTGAGCAAAAGTGCATCATTTATACTTTAAACTTCGACCAGAATGGATGCATCGATCGCTATCGCGTTGATATTTGCTTCTAGACGTAGAAAACGGGGCAGACGAAGGATTTGGGCAAAACAATGGTTTCTAGAGCGTGGACGTAAGTTCGGCATGGGTTAGGGCTGTTCTTGGTCCATTAGGAATAGCATGGCATTATAGTACCACACTGTAGGCTCATACACATCATCACTACCAGCACCTGATTTTTTTGAATCCATAACTTTTTTCATTTCTTTTCTGAAGTTCGTTCGAAGAGAATTCAGTTTTTTCTTTACATCATCTTTTTCCCAAGTAGGATACTTCTCCTTAAATTTGGTTACAAGAACCTTATAAGCCTGGTCTTTCATTGTCCGATTACTATATTCTTTACTTTTGATATTCCATAATACAGGATGTTCTCTATAGAGTTCAATGCACTCCAATAAGAATTTTTTCTCTTGGGTGGTGGACATGTTTCCAGTAGAAGGTTGTCGTGTAAAATGAATATATTGCACAATATAATTGAAAAATCCCACACACTGTAAATGAAATAATTGCGCAAGCCTGAAAATTTCTACCAGATTTAGAAATTCTGAGGCTTGCACAATACTATTGTGCAAGCCTTCAATATTACCCACACACGGTCAATATAACTGCGCAATGTCAGTTCACGCAATACTATTGTGCGATATTATTGATCGTGTATGGGCAGCTTTACAATCTGAGTTTTTTAAGCAGTTTTTCTCTACAGTATTGAATATGTGGTAAATGGGTATGAGCTCGAGCTCGAACATTAAGGGATATCGTTGTATTGATTTTTGTTTCACCATTAGATAAAGGTTAATTTAAGCTCACTTTAGGATCACTTTTCAATGATAAAATCTGACATAATTTACAGTGGCTCAACTAGATGAGTGGGCGTCTATGGACTGGGTTAGGGCCCCTCCCCTGCATTTTTTTGAGGGTTTGTGCCCGAGGACTTGGTTCAAGCAGTTACTATGGTATTTATTAAATGTTGCTTTATCAACTGGTATAGCAAATATTTAGATTCAGTTTGTCCCTTATTCAGAAAAAAACTATAAGGTCTGTATTGTGAAGCAATTCTGTGAAAGTAATTTCTTTGGTATTTTTACTTAAAGGGACAGCTTCGCCATCCATTTTGACCCATTGTCTCAGAAACGTGATATTTTTAGCTAAGCCAATCAGTAATAGCGTTCACAGCTCACCATCGAAATTCGTGTGTATCCAGAATTATCCTTGTTTGAATTGTTAAAATGACGACTTGTCATTTCATGAAACTCTGGCATATAAATATAAAATAGAAAGTGAAATTCTTAGTTAGAGGCATTTTTGAAGAAAATATGCGATTTGTGTTTACGTTTCTAGTTCTTCTGAAGACTATTTACAATATATTCAAGACCCAAATCAACACCTGAAAATGTGGAATCTGTCCCTTTAAAAGATAGTAGATAACTGCAAGTATTAAGCTAGCTTGTCCATTGGTTTAATATTATTATTGGTTAATCTAATTTCTGATAATTTTATGTGATTTAAAATACCAGCTTCAACCTTATGATAGTGATTTTGTCGAACTTGTCGGAGATTGGGAAAAAATTGCTACATTGAGCACTGCTTGGCATTCACACATCATTAGCCGAATCAGGTGCAGAAGATTTGTATAGAAAGTCCCTTTCATTTCATTTACTTAGACTTTTTCTCAATACTATTTAGGGCAAAATTTTATATTGTCCTTTTATATGAAACATTTGTGTGAATTCAGGTATTTAATATGAACCTTTGGAAACTTATTATATAGTGTGCTAAATTTCATTCTTAAATGTATTTGTTATCTTTGTAAAATATTGATAAAATCAAATTGAATTCCATGAAAGTCTGTTATAAAAACATAGCAACCACGATCTTGGACCCCAGTGACTGAACATTTTGTCAATGGGTATTGGGTTAAGGTGCGGGCACACGAACGGTCTTGGTCTATTGTCGCCGATTAGAGTCTTGTCTTGAGTTTCAACAACTGGCACGGGCACACGAGGAGGCAGAATCTCCAGTCGGTCTTTTTCCACCATGTCGATAATCACGTGCGGGGCATGCAGTTGAAAGGAAAAGGAATCTGATTGGATGATGACAGTCTGTCTTGCAGACAATAAAACTATCGGAGACAATTATCAAACTTGTTTTTTATTATAATTGTCGGCGACTCGATAAACTTGTCGTGGAAGAACGGGCACAAGCAAGATTTTACTCGAGATTTGAGTCAGCGACAAAAATCTCCGACCAAGACCGCTCGTGTGCCCGCACCTTTAGGGCAATATCGCTCAGTGGTGTTAGTATTAAACTAAGTCACTAACAATGTGTTAGTATTAAATTGAGTTACTGACAATGTGTTGGCAATAAATTTAGTCACTATCAATGTGTTAGTATTAAATTGAGTTACTGACAATGTGTTGGCAATAAATTTAGTCACTAGCAATGTGTTCGCAATAAATTTAGTCACTATTAATGTGTTAGTATTAAATTTAGTCACTAACGATGTGTTAGGATTGAATTTTGTCACAATTAATAATGTATTGCTTAATTGAGTCACTAACAATGCATACTACCTCCAAAATTTGAATTTTCAACACTGGCCAAAATGAGTTTTTGTTCTATCAGTGGACTACCTGGTGTCAAAACTATAAAACAGAATCACTCTATGGTCCAATAAATCCATAATGCATGTTTCAATAATTACTTAATGCATTATTATATAAAGATTCTATTCTTTAGTCATGGCACCTGGTAAGTCCAACTGATATATACTCTTATTGACCAAGTTTGAGCCTTTAATTTTTTGTTGTTGACCATTCTAAGAGGTAGTATTCCTTTTAGTAGTTAATGATTCCTTATAGAACTCCATAGCCCAATATTCAAGGCTGTATCGAAATCCATTTTAATTTTTAGCTGTAACTAATAAATTCTTTGGACAGTTGTAATTTATTAAGTCCGGATATATTCTCCGACGTGAAAATATATCAGGAAAAATCTAAGAGAAAGTCGTGAAATAGTAAGGATTAATAAGGGGAAATGCAATCGATTAATTATTCTGAAAGGGGTAATGTAAAGAAAAATTTTGAAAACTCCTTCATTTACAGTCTTGATATTGACACGGATAATTTTTAAAGTTTTAAGTCGCAGTGTTAATACTGGTAGAAATATATTGAAAATTAATTCAAATTATGTGTATTTATACTTAAAATTATGGATTAAATCCTTTTGAACGAATCAAGAAAAGTAGTTATTTTTCAGTGAGCAGGTGGTTAATTGACAATGAGCTCAACGATTGATCACTCAATGAACAGATCAGACCAAAATACCAATGATTGATCAGATCACTCAATGAATAGATCAGGCAAAAACAATTAGTGATCACTCAATGAATAGATCAGATAAAAATAAAAATTATGAATGATCACATAATGACGGATGGATCAGATCAACGAATTGACAATGAGCTCAACGATTGATCACTCAATGAACAGATCAGACCAAAATACCAATGATTGATCAGATCACTCAATGAATAGATCAGGCAAAAACAATGACTGATCACTCGATGAACAGATCAGACAAAAATAAAAACTAAGTCTGATCACCAAATGCCTTATCAGATCACCGAATGAAGAGATCAAAACACCAATGACTGCTCACTAAATGAAGAGATCAGACCAAAACATTGACTGATTACTCGATGAACAGATCAGACAAAAATAAAAACTATGACTGATCACCCAATGCCTTATCAGATCACCGAATGAAGAGATCAAAACACCAATGACTGGTCACTAAACGAAGAGATCAGACCAAAATACCAATGACTGATCACTCGATGAACAGATCAGACAAAAATAAAAACTATGACTGATCACCCAATGCCTTATCAGATCATCGAATGAAGAGATCAAAACACCAATGACTGGTCACTAAACGAAGAGATCAGACCATAATACCAATGACTGATCACTCGATGAACAGATCAGACAAAAATAAAAACTATGACTGATCACCCAATGCCTTATCAGATCACCGAATGAAGAGACC